TAATAGCCATAGATGCCAAATCTTATGAGTTTAGATTAATAATAATAATAAAAAAAATATTGATGTATATTATTTAACATACTTACCATATTATGTAACTTACTATTCTATATTTCTATAATACAATAATGAATTAGGTAATAAACACTAAACAGTAATCAGTTACGCGTGTATAAGAGATTCTGATGCTCCATTTTTTAATTGAACGCATCTACTGTTCACAGCTGAATCGTTATTTTCAACATGATAATCACATCATGTTCAATCGCATTTGTCCCACTCAAAAATCGCAATTTTACTGATAAAAWWGTACAAGTAKTTTTTATATTTAAAATGGTTTTCGTTAAGAACTAGTTTTCATTTTTCATTTAACTTTTTCTGTTTATCGAACTCTTCGTTCGAATTGAGTACCAATTTAATTTTAAAACTATACAGGTACAGCGGTTTGTGTAAACCTAAAACTATACCAGTCAAGCGCTTATATAATTTCCCWAGAAATTACAGAGAAATTGGATGTATCTACTGTAAGCGCAATAATTCCGCTTAAGTTTTTCCATTATATTATACCGTATAAAAATGCAGAAGCCCCCCCCCATATATTTATTTTACTAAATTAAAATTAATATAGTGATAAAATGTGTGCGTGGGTTTTTAGATTTTACAACAAAAATAATATCAATATTAAGGAAAACTGGCTATACCGTCCCTACGAGTTTTATCATTATATGTATATCTATGTAAGGGTGTTTGGGTAGAGATGAGAGCAATACATACCTAAAGAAGTTAGGACAAACAAAAATAGGCGAAACGCCCATTCTGTAGTYGTTCAACGAYGCGCAGCGGTCACGTGTTCGGTAATGATGTCTAATCGAGTCTCTGGGCCGTTTATCATCTCAATTTGATGGTATAACTGTATAAGTAGTACTGATTAGTCAATACGCATACAAATTGTATCATTTGTAGGTATGTGTAGTGCATACGATTGAACACAATAATTATAAATATTACACATTTTAACATTTATAATTTATAATACATGTGTATCATAGGCGGATCCAGAGTTTTATATTTGAATGTGCCCGGCTCTTATTTGTATTTATTTTATTATATTACAGAGGGAATGAAGCTATAAACAAATCACATCACATTAAATAATGAAAAAATAAATGAAATACAAATTACCAAAAGTATTATCATTATCATTAGTATTTTTTTATCGTTATCAGCGCGACGTTGATTTCCAAGAAAAGGCAATATTTTTTCGCTAAAAATAGTTACCACCGCCATTAGACTGACCGTGACGTTCTCGTATTGACGACAATAACATTGAATAATAATATAATTTAACAATAACGTTAAACAAATACGTGTAGAACTGTAGACAATAGACAGTGTAGTGATTTAAATTCTTCATTAATAATGTAAAATAACAAAATTATTGATTAAAAAATGCATGTAATTATAATTACTTTTATTAAATTTTTATTATTTCAGACTGATTCAGAACACTTTCAGTTATACTTGCAAAAAACTAAAATTAAAGTAATGTGTATATATTATATTATTAATTATTATTATTTAGTATTATTTAATTTTTTCTCTTTACATCAGGGTGTACCAAGGCACACCCGGCACACTCCGTAGATCCGCCTATGTGTATTATACATTTATAGTTTATACCCCTACTTAGCGGTGTAAGAAAAAAAAAAGAATAAATGTGTAAATAAATAAAAATATTTTATATTTTCAACATGCATTGATATTGATTAGCATATACAACTTAAGTTAAGTCTATAAATAAATTGCATTAAATATAGGATAGGTGAATCAAAAAAAAAAAAAATTAATAATAATAAGGGTCAGTGTAGGAAAAAATGACGGGTAATACCTAATGAAGTCAACCGAGTCCCACGTCCAATGACATCATCACGACGAATCCCACGATACAACACCAACTGGCCAGCTTCCCGTTGCCACTGTAACAAAATTAAACACGGTGATTCGATTAAATGGCAACGTGTGTCCGACAAAATATGACAATGATCGTTGTCGTTGCTCCGGCTTTTCGAACAAGAATATAGTATTATAGGTACCTAGCATACATAGTACAATATGTTGGCCAAAAATTAACCCCCGGCTTCTGTGGCCTGTGCACATCCGGGCTTCGGCGGCCTGTTCAAAGGTGTTTGTTAAAGTTAAAATATGTTTTCTAGCTGGCAGCTTTGCAGTAGAATCGTAAGAGATTTGGCAAATACACTGTAGATTTTATTAAAAATCGATTTTCTCTTAAAATTACTATTGTTGTTATTCCTGAACTTGGTTCAGCACAGGTCTTACGGTCAAGGAACATAATATAAATAAATACGTAACCACAGAAATCATAAGTAAAAATGTGTTGGAATAGTTTGACCTATGTTTTCAAGGCCCGAAGACCCGATCACACATCTAAACAGTATAATTACAAAAATTTGTCATAAAGTACCTATACCCAAATAATTTTCAAGTTATAAATTTGTCAATCATCAATGATTGACAAGGACACATGTATATCTAAAATGGTAAAACACGGTACATTATATTATTTTATAGAACATGATTCACCAAACATGCTCAACCATATTTTTTTCTTGGAAATATACATTAATTCAAATTTTCATTTTTTGAATTTTTAAGTATACTTAAAATCGAATTTCAATTTTTTTACACCATTTAAGCAGCATTTATGCTGAAGGCGATACAAAACATCTCTTATAAAAATGGAGGAACCACCCTTCACCAAAATACATTTTTAAGTAGCCTATTGACGAATTTTTGGAAATTTTGATCGAATACAAATCTCAATTTATTCAAACAAGTAGTTTTCTGAAATATTAATATTATTTAAGTATATGATTGTAGTGGTTTAGAAGATATTATTGAAGCTCATATTGAAGCGATTTTTTAAATATTTCATTTTCAAGCAAGTTATGGGTATGTGAAGTATTAAAAATTAAAATTGACCGTATCTCAATTGAAAATTGAGTTAAAGGCAACTTTAACTAAACTTAAAAAAATAATAGTTAATATTCAATTAATAATGATCCGTCAATAGATGTAAAGGATAAAAGGGGGTGAGTAAATGGGTAATGAGCATGATTGGTGATAATACTTCACATTTTTTTTTTTTAAACCAGCATGATATAAATATATATTTTCATAATAGTTTTATATACTTTTATAAAAGCGCGAAGTAGCTGCAGTGCATGAACGCAGCTTGGTAATCTAGAGATATTAATATAATATTTTTGTTTTTATTACAATTAGGGGGGTCAAAAAATGTCGGTTATAAATATAAACCTAATAGAATTTACCGAAAAGACGGTTAAGTCACGTGTGATTAAAACGAAAATCGTTTCCGATCGTGCAGTATAACTTGCAGCATACTGCAGTCATTTATTGTCCCGATAATATTATTATCGTGTGTACTGATTTTGGAGACGAAACGTCATATCGTCGCGTCGTTTCGGACAATTAAAAATAAGATGCGGGCGGCTGCGACGGCGTCGGCAGCGACAGCCTCCGCATTTCGGTTACAAGGCCGCGGCGGCCGGACGAAGTATCGATGATGATGATGATGATGATGATGATGATGATAATAATAATAATAATAATAATATGACGGTGCAGCAGCGGCGGCCCATTCATGACGAACGTCGGCTAGCGTTAAACACCATAGTAGGCAATAGAGGTCGTGATAGTCGATGCCGTGCCGCCGCCACCACGCGATCGCTCACTCGCTCGCTCTCACTAACGACCAAAGAAATTGTCTAATTGTGTGTGTGTGTAGCGTGGTTGTACTGCTGCATTCCTGGCGTCAAAGGAGATTGCATACAGAGATTTTACAGTTATATGACCCCCAGAGAGTGAGAAACCATTGATATTATATTATTACATACGTGCGCGACAGCAGCACCGTCAGGGTCACACGTTATGTACGCATATATAATATTATAAYAATAATACTATAATAATGTTGTACCTATTATTGATAGGTATGCACCGCACACTACGCGACACATAAACTCATGCACACCACACCAGGGCGGAGTGGGTGTGAGTATATCAAATAATAATAATAATAGTACCTACCTCCTATATTATAATCTATAAATATAAATAAATGGATTTTTGTCGATCTGTCTGTTTGTCTTTTATGCATTCCTAAACGGTTGGACCAATTGCGACGAAATTTGGTACAGAGATATATTAGACCAATAGGCAGAAGATAGGCTAAGCTAAAAAGTGATAGGCCCAATCCTAGGAGGTGCTCAAACAGACATTTTGAGAATTACAATGGAAATTTTTGTTTCTTTATACCTAAATGGTTGCTGTTAGTGTGAAATAAATTATTATCCCTGAATTTTTTATAATTTATTTCCATGGCATGTGTGTTTATGGCATTACAAGTTTTTATTGATATTTTGTGTTTTCTCATCACATTGCCAAAAAATGTCTGTAAAATAAAAGCAATAACGATAAATGAGTTAATATTGACAAAGTAGTTTTCCAAAATCTACCTGCAAAAAATCGCAGAAATTGTCAGTGGCTCAGTGCACGGTTAACATTGGCAGCCAAAATCTATGATGTAAATACAATCAACATCATCATTCTAAACAATATTCTAGGCGACACTATTAGTCCATCGATACCGTAATGAATCAAGACGAACTTGTCCAAAATTCAACTGAATTCTTAAATTCAATTGATTTACCAGGCATGCCACCGCCACATTCTAACATCGAAATTTGGCGTGTCCATCATTCTTCTACGAAATATCAATCAACCACGACTCTGCAATAGTACCAGGCTTAGGCTTTCAGTGAACAAGTTTACAAACAACATTATCTATGCTATAACTTTAAACGGAATATTTAAAGGCGAAGATGTGCAATGTACTGTTGCCACGCATCCCAATGATTCCAACAGGTTTGTTTTTCGAATTCAAACATTTGTATATTTTCCGGTCTGACAAAGCACAAGGACAGTCGTTACAAGTGTGTGGACTGAATTTGAAAATTCCATGCTTCTCACATTGACGTAGGAAAACCTTCCGATTTGTTTGAGTACGTACCAGAAAGAAGAACAAAAAAATGTGTATCCAAATGCATTTCAATAAATATCATTCAATTGAACTGTCAGACTCGTCTCTATAAGACGAATAAAATTACATAATAATAAACCAAATTGAATATCGTTGTAAGATTATTACTCAATATATTTTAACAGTTATCTATCCATATATGAATAAAAATATATGGGTACTACTAGCACAGTCACAGGTAATGAATATAAAACAGAATTTGAGACATATTAGAGATAGTATTTTTAACGGGATACAAAGTGCACGGGTTCAGTTAGTATCTACAATATATATAAATATCATGTCACAGTGTTAGTTATTGAACACCTCCAAAACCACTTGGCTGATTTTCATCAATTTTTTTGTGTATATTCGGTAGGTCTGAGAAAACGTTTTAGGCTAATTTAAAAATGGAATTTTTCACCTCCCGCAGGTGCTCAAACAGGAATTTTGAGATTTACGATAGAAATATTTGTTTATAAATAGTTACCATGGGTTTTAAAGCTATATAATAATAATTATTATTGGATTGAACTTGGTTACAAATGGTTGGTATGGATTGCATGGTACATAACGCATGGACAACGAAGAGTGGAGCAAAGACAAGCGCATCGATTCGTAGTTGACACACGCAAAGCAAAAGATCGACATCGCCAACAAGTACATCGAGCTTTTACATCCAATTCATTCCTTAGTCTAGCATTCGAGTATATGCTCGATATTGAATATTAAGCTCATTCAAAAGTAGAGATTGGTGCCTATATTGACAAAGAATGTCTGCATTGTAATGCCTTTGAATTCAAAAATGAGCCATCCGGTATGTTTTGTGCGTCAGGAAAAGTGAAACCATCGGAAATTGAAAACACTGAAATTAATCGTGAACTGCAATATAATACTGTAGAATTGGCAGCGAGTGGTTACAATGTACCACTACTAAATAGCGTACAAAGAACCATTTACGACCGCATTATGCTCGCAGTTTCAGCAGGACAAGATGGATTATTTAATTTGGACATGCCACATGGAACTGGAAAAACATTTCTCATTTCTCTAATTCTCGCAGAAATACAATCAAATAATGGCATCACATTTGCCGTTGAATCATCTGGAATTGCAGCAACTTTATTGGATGGGGGCAGAACAGCTCATTCAGCATTTAACCTGCCACTAAATATTCAAAATAATCCAGACGCAGTGTGCAACATTAAAAAAAAATCTCCATGGCTACAGTGCTGAAACGGTGCAAAATTATCATCTGGGATGAATGCACTATGGCACACAAATATTCGCTTGAAGCATTGGACAGGACATTGAAAGACATAAAAATTAATGACAAACTATTTGGTGGTACTGTGTTACTGATATAACATACAATAATGAGATCAACGCTAGCTTGAAATCGTCACGACTGTGGCGTTATGTTGAAAAAGTGCAATTTAAATTAAATATGCGCGTTAAAATGATTCAAGATCCATCCGCTGAAACATTCTGTAAACAACTGTTAGATATCGGCGATGGAAAAGTAGCTTTACATGAAGATACTGGATGCAAAAAATTGCCAAATGATTTCTGCACAATCATTAATTCGCAGAATGATCTCATTGACCAGATATTTCCTGATATACTAACATAATAATTAAAACCCTGAGTGGTTAGCAGAAAGAGAAATTTTAGCAACAAAACATGTGGATGTCAGCGATTTGAATTACAAGATACAACAGTTGTTGCCAGGGTCTTGGTGTCGTACAAATTGATACAATATTGAAACCATAGAGTAATATATATTACTCTATGATTGAAACGATACAATTTGCGATACCAAAGAAACTGTAAATTATCCAACAGTTTTTGAACTCATTAGATTTTCTAGGCATGCCACCACACTATGTACAATTGAAGGTTGGATTTGCTTCGTAATTTGAACCCGCACCAACGCTGTGCAATGCCATGCGATTAGTCATTAAAAAATTTATGAAAAACGTTATCGAAGCCAGCATTTTGAATGGCGAGTTACAAGGAGAAGATGTATTATTACCACGAATCCCTATAATTACTACAGATGTCCCAATTGAATTCAAACTGGTTCAATTTCCAATAAGATTGACATTCGCGATAACAATCAATAAGTCTCAAAGCCAAACGATGTCTGTTTGTGGCTTAGATTTGGGTGGGCACACCGTGTTTTTCACACGGTCAATTTTATCATTATTGTGGCGTGTAATCACATGGGTGTACTATCCAGTTTGTGTCGGTTAAAGATGCGACTCACTAAAAATATCGTTCACGCCATTGCACTAAGAGACTGATAGTGTTTTTTTTAATTTTCATAATATGTGATAGAGATGTAATTTGAAATTTTTAGTTACGATAATAATAGTACAATGAATTCAAAAAATTGATATTTTGTGTAAAGTTATTGTTCTCAGTGTTCTATTCCTCTTTCAGTCATACACCAGTTAAACACATCAACACACAATCATAATAGCTTAGTAATTTTTTATCTGACTACCAATATATTCATTAGAAATAATTTATACAGCAAAACAACGTTTACCGGGGGTCAGCTATATATTACTAGCTAAAACCTGTGCTATTCGTAGCCCGTTAAAAATCCTACCTCTTATATGGTTCAAGCTGTGTGTTAAATTCATTTAATGTGATGATACTAGCAGTATATTTTTATACATAGAGATAGATAACGATTAAAATATATTAAATAATAATCTTACAAAGATATTCAATTTACGTAGGCCTACAACTTTTTAACTTAGCCTATCCATAAGACCCATAGGTCTAATAAAAAACTCTGTACCAAGTTTCTTCACAATCGGTCCACCCGTTAAAGAATGTATATCAAACAGACAAACAGGACAAACAGATATATATATATAGCTATCTATTTATCTATATAACTACATCTATAAAAGTGGATTTCTGTCTGTTTATTATTTATGCATTCTAATTCCAATTGGTGGACCGATTGCAACAAAATTTGATATAATTATAATTACAGTCTTCATCCAAGCGTGGTTATTGGAAAACGGATAAATTATGTATATACTGTAAAGCATTTAAATAAAGGATAAACAAACAGAAATCCATTTTTATAGATATAGCTAGATATAGTGGAGGAGGATGCCGGAGTGGGCGCGGACTATATAGCGTATAATAGTAGTTGCCGCGTCGCTGCAATGACGTCCGACGTCCGTGTACAACATAATTGTACACTTATATTATTACCTGGAATTCGACTCCGGAATGATGTCGTTGACGACCACGTAAATCATCGCACCAGCGGCAAACGCAAGGGCGTAAGGCAACAGCGGCTTGATGAACGAAACGGCAAATATGCCCACGAGTCCGGCGATTGGCTCCACCATACCACTAAGTTGTCCGTACCTGTGAAGAAAAAATAATACATACACGACACGTAAATACATGACTACATCCGCAAGTGTTGTCTCCGTGCAGATGTAAAACATGGTAAATAGAAACTGTTTTGCGCGGGAAAGAATCTACAGAAGAAGACTATACTGCAGTCGTACTGTTCATAACTAAGAAACGAAATTTCCATCACATAAAAAAGTTGTAATATCACTTTTATTTTGTATTTGACATAGGAGCTACAAAAAAAGTTATTCAAGATTGAAAAACACAAAACTAATGGATTTTGACACAAATAATAACTCTTTACCTACAAGTAATATTAAAAAAATGAAAACGATATTTCACAGATAATGTTTTCATCTATATTTGGAGTCTAAACTATCACTACAGTCTACAGCATGAATGATTCTAACTCCACGTAAAACAGTTTTTACTATACATATATATATATATATATAAATTGTCATTTGTACAATTGCATATTATACGGGCGGGCATCTTTTTAATATAAATAGATGAAACATATTATAATAAAGATGACAAGAATCATCTCGTATAAAGGTTTCGAAACTCGAGGTCGACTGGTCACAGTATTGTACTCTGCCACCCTCCAAACACAAAAGCTCTATTTTTATTAAATGCTACAAAATAAACACTTTAAACACGCTCACGTGCATATATAGGTATGCGCTATAAACCATGATTATAAACACCCCATGAGATTGATAATATTAGGTGGATTAAGTTTATAACACCGACCCTCGGAAGTATAACTCGTATAAGATAAGTTAATTAGCTGCGTAGACGGGGATAAAACAAATCGATAAGGGGCGATTGGGGAGTTGAACACGATTTATTTAACTCGCGAATCGAAGGTACCAATATCGAGTATATAGGTTAACGCATATAAAGACTGCGTTTTGTAAATATAAGTACTGTGTACACGACCTTCCCCATCAACTCTCTGCAGGAATACACAAGATATAAAGTGTCTGTTAAATTATATTTGAAAATTAACTATAACATTATTAACTATAAACACCCGAAATGAAAATGCTGAAACGGCATGCGAAACGTTTCATGACATTGTGACATTTATAAATCAGAAAATATTTGCTACACGGAGGTATCTATTGTTAGTTTTTTATACGTAGGTCCCTATATACAACTCAGCTCGAATTCCCTGCTGTATAATAAGTTATAGAAATTAATAATAACAATATTTTAATAAATTCGTTTTTAATTTTGTGTGTATTAAGGCTATAGACGATTATAATTAATTATTCACATAATCTGGTAATTATACAATGCCTATATATATATATATATATATATATATATATATATAATACCGATCCATCGCACTAATAAATTATTAATGACATGTAATTCAGATCATCCAGTAACAACGAATTACACATAGTACATACGAATATATAGGTAGGTACTGTTAATATATACTTATATTATATATTATAACAGAGCAATGAACTTCTTCGACTGTTACCTAATAAACGGTCTATACATAGGTACTACACTAATATTATTGTATGTTTGTTTATTCGTTGTTCGTACAATAGCAATATAATTTTAATTCATAAATCTTCTGATACAACACACAATTTATTTAATATATTTTAAAACGTATTAGTTTATTTTCTTTAAACGGTTTTTAATTGGTCCATAATTAACTGATAATAAAATATCACGAATTTCTATACTTACGGTAATATTATAACACAACATTGAATAATATAAAAAGAAAAGTAAAACTATTACGTTTTTTAACAATCTTTTTATATACATCAATGATACGATTATCATTCAATAAAAAAAATGAAACAATTAAATAAAATCATTCATACCCTTAAAAATACAGTACATTACGTAATATTGTCCTTATTATGTATAGTTATCTACATAAAAAGATTAAATCGAGAATAATTTCRCTGAATGGACGTGACATGTTTGGTGAAACAAAATTGAGTAGATCTATTTTAATTCAAAAACTGACATTTCTATCACAGCCCATAACAAGATAAAAATGGTTCCATTTTTGTCGAATCAGATAACTGTCCTTTCTGTTTTCACCCAAGGGGCCAATTCTTGAACGACATCTGTAGTTCCTTATTTGATTGTTATTTGAATTTATATGGATTTCGTATGCAAGAAATCTCGCTTAAAAATGGGCCTCCAAAACAGATTAAAAGATTTTATTATATACACAAACTTTCTCGWCATGAATTTATAAAATGTACGAAATTAATATTCGGAAAAACAATTAAAAATGAATTAATGATTTGCTTTATATACTAACAATGTTAACATAATTTAAAATGTAATTATAATATTGTATAAATGATTTTATGTTTACTAAGAATTAAAGATAAACACTACCTACCATTTTTACAGTTTTTTTATAATTAATAAATTGATATACTAAATTTTTGCGTATATTAGTCAGAAAAAGTCGATAAACTGTGCTAAGCAAATACGAATTCTAATTTATTAGGTTTTGTGTGAAATATTACAAAATGGGTTTAAGGGCGGATAAGTGGGTAACACTTTACGCCTATACTGTACATTAAGTGTCTAGAAACTAGAGWGTCACTGTAATGGATGGGTTAAATGTTAAGTTTAAATATGAATTCAACAATCATTGTAGGTATACTAAAAAAGATTTTGATCGAAGACTGTCTGTCAGCATATAATATTAATAAGTAAATTGTATGATATTATTGTGATTAAGAGGACGCCACATGGGCATATTTTATTGTCTCCATCTTACAAACCGTACAACATGGCATWTTTTACATTCCCAATAATACTTTTTCGTCTGACATTTATAAAATTAGAGTGAATTTATTTCTAATAAAATTTAAACGAGAATATTATTTAGGACATCTCGGAGTATTTTATTGATATTATTAATTTTAAGTAAGTTATGACCATTTTTTTGTACATTTTAAAACAAACATAACTTACTTAAACATTTTAATATCATTAAAATCTTCCGAGATACCCTAATTAATATTCTTGCCTTCAGAATTCATAATATAGGTTAATATTAAGTAATAATGTATGTTAATRATATATTTGAGCAATTTGGACAACATGTCTTTTTATTACTTTCTCAWACGACTATAACAAATATTTTTCAACAATTTTTAGGTATATAAGTGGTCTTAAATGCATTAAAATGGCTAAAATTAAGCAATGAATTACCAAGGAATAATTTCTCCACATATAAAGGTTGACGAAGTCTTTATTTTTTATGAACGCAACTATATATTGAATTATTGAGAGATATCACAATGTTAAGCTGAAAAATCAGTATTACACAACATAATATTATCGTAACTCGTAAGTGTATACAAAATATAAATTGCATAGTATATAATATAATATATGAAATCAGTAAGACTGTACTACAGTATCAAAAGAGAAAATAGGACCAATTTTTTTTTCATACACATACATCAACTATTTGATTTATGGTATCACCGTGGTATTTGTAGCAGCAATATACCAAACGGAAATCCGGATTTCCATAAACGCTACTTGTAGAATGTGTTCATTTTCCCGGTAGAGAACGAACCGCGCCTTGTAATTAGTGTGGTAATTTTCGAACTTATAAGAATTATAACGGTTTTATAACAAATAATATGTATACATTAAATTATTATGATGTATTTTTAATGGTCTATAAAACTCGACTCCCGATTTCTATATGGGCGGCGGAGGATTTGCGTCGGCGAGCATGACGGCGACGACGAGGAAAAAAACTACACATTACGTACTATAAACGCGCGTGTTTAAAGTATATGACCATAAGGTAAAAATAAGCATATAATGGTTGACCGACGATTCAAAGAATTCGATCTTCTGGTAGTCAACGTTCAATGACGGAGAGGAATAATTTTTAAAGGAATGGGCGCTTACCAAAAACTTTTCCATTTAGAACATCCGGCTGCTTGCAAGGGTAAACTGACAGCCAATCCTTCTGGAAAATTTTGTATGCCAATTCCCATGGCTAAATTTCTGAAACAACATGTATAAGGATAATTTTAATACTTCATTTAAATAATTATAATTTTTGCAGTCAATAATAGCGTCAATGTGCATTTCACAACTGTTGCAGCAAGATATATTTATTATTTATATATATACATATATTATTCTTTTAATGTCCAAAACCCCACCTACCACTCATCCACCTCCCAAAAAAAAAAATTMATTCACTGCGATAAGTRACCCACGTGAGACGCGAAAATGTATTCGGCGCCACTACAGCACTTGGGGCTGTGTATGTACTATACACATTGTGATAAATATTTCAGGTAGAATTTGTCTTCAATCCTTAAAYTCATTTTTTCGTGTATTAACATATAGTAGATAATATACTATACGTATATAATATGTCGTACGGTTCTTTCAGACTTAAGGATCGTATATTAATTGTGTTACAACAGTCAGTGAATGTGGTTCGTATCTATACAAGACGAATTTTACAATCTAGAGTTGGAGTACCCGAGTACCTATATGCATCGGAGAATGCACGAAAGAGCGACGGAGACTTTTGTTGTAGTCGTCCTCACTTGTCGCCATAATGCACATTTCTTTTTGTTGATATGTCACTCAATAAATAATAATAGTATAACATAAATATAATATGCCGGGTAACAATAATAATATTATATTAATTGATTCGACGATTCCGGATTCACTAAAATTTCACTGACTAATCGCAAGAGACACTAAACAGTCGACGACCATTAGCTCCGCTACTAATTTTTCAAAATATGTCTAGTGATTATAATATTAACATTTTGAACATATAGGTAACTCGAGTTACAACAGATCTGTTGGTCCGTCAATAACAATTCTCATCGTTTCCTGCCCAACAAAATATATACAGTCGATTCGCGATAACTCGAACCTCGATCGACTCGAAAAATTTGACAAATCGAATTCACGAAAATCCTTCTCCTGTTTTATTTATTAGTATTTGATATTTTTGATAATTTATGCATAAATATCTCGACAAATGGATGTATAATAATAATTAATAACATGTAATAGAGAAAACGTCGAAAAACCGTGTAATAATAAAATTATATTATGTACATTTAAACGATATTGTTGGTGGTGGTGGTGGTGGTGGTGCTGCTGCACACGGCCTATAATACGTCTAATAAAGCAGACGACGACGACGACACAGCGACGGGGTACTGGGTTGTGGGCGCGTGAGTGCGCGTATACGCGATCGTGTGCTCGGCGTATATTATATTATAGCGGAATGGAACCGAGACGTGTACAGCTATTCGGAGAATGTGCGGAATGCGACGGATAAAAATCTCGTTGCCCCGGTTCAACGTGCCCACCGCCGCCGACGACCGTTCTCCAGACGCAAACATGCGCATTTATATTATATGTATAATAATAATAATATACGAGTGTACACAATACTACGCAGCCGAGTATTTCTACCAACACGTTTTTTCTTTCCCTTTTTTTTTTTTTACTTTTTTTTCCTTTCTATATTATGGAAGAGCTTAACGGCCGTTTCATCACCACGAGGTTGTCGGAGGGTTACAGTGGCGTGGTGGTGCGCCGCCGATAAACCCCTCGGGTAAATCGAAAGACGTACACACACGTCGTTATATTATTATTATTATTATGTATATATGAATGAATCAGAAAATATTCATTGAAACGCGCACTGCCGCCAACCGTCGCGCTTATGCGACGCTGGATAATAAATTATTATACTATTATCACTAAAGAATATAATATATAGTGTCTATACGGCCGTCCGCGGAGGGAAGAAACGAAAACCCTTCGACCCGGGGCAAAACGCAGCTAACGATGACGGTTACATTATACTYCATGTAGGGACCCACACATTAGGTGTGTAGGTACTGTGTAGGCGTTCGGTCGTTTCTGGAATAATAATATTTTAATTATTATTATCACCGTCTGCGGGGGGGTGGGAAACTGGTCGTCGGCGGTTAACTGGGCCGCCGCAAAGCGCACCGCGTGAGCGTGTGTGTGACACACGTCCGTGTAATAATAACGGGTCGAGGACGCGGCGGTGTTGGCGATGCGCGGAGACGATCACGGCGAGTAAGTGGCGGCGGCGTTCGAGTGAATGAACCGCGTGCGCGCGCATATGAGAATATTATATTATGTACTCTCGAGTCTTGGGGCGGTTGATGTGCGAGTGTGTGTGTGCGTTCAACTTGTAGCACCGGAATGTCGAGAAAAGAAAATAACGAAGAAAAAATAAACTTAAATGAAATAACGGCGACGATAAATAATACGTATAGGTAATGATAATGACAGTGATAACCGTTCACCTCGAAATTTTACGCGCGCACATTTATACAACYGAATCAGTGATCGATGCAGATCAASGTTAAGATGAAGAAAGAATTCTTCAAGTAGCGTAACTTACTGTACGTATTTAGTAGTATAGAAGTTTGCACGGGTCGGATATAATATTATAACGAAATCCAATGGACTCTTGAGAGGCGCCGCCGGCCTTAGCAGMWTACTTAGACAGAAATTCTAGACAACTCTAAAATATATCTTGTTGGTCGTTCTCGTTCGGAACACAAAGCGTTCTTCGGATCTCAATCCTTATCCCTCGAAATAACAGCGAGAAAAATTGGTTTGACATTTGGCGACATCGTCTTTCGGACTTTCTATCACGTACGTTTACACGCACGTTTACACGCACATGGCACATACACAATAAACACATGGCGCGTCGCTTGGTTTTATTAAATTATAGATTTATGAAACGAAAACGATATTAATTTGTATCATATTGTAGTTTATCGAATATTTTGAGACAAAAACGATATTTGTATTTTCTTTTTTTTTAAACATCGAATATATAAAGAATAAAACGATTTTCTGATCTATCGTTCTAATATATGACTTGATCTGTGTGAAAATTTCCTAGAAATCATCCACTGCATTTTTGACTTTTGTATATATTTGTAAGTAGCTTATAAATTATAAATATAAATCTACATTAGCAAAAATATTTATACCTATATGTATATTTTAATACAAATTTTAAGTGTTCAAACTTTTAACCCATATTTCTGCAGCATATTCTTTAATTAATTGACAACATATTATTCAATAATCAAATTTAAGAAACGATCTTGCAGCACACTTATTCTTGGCCAAATTTTTAGAATAATTGAAGATATGTTTTATGACTATTGTTTATAATAATTATTCAATGTACTTTTAAGGGAGGGCCTATACTCCGCTTCGTGCCATTCCATTGTTACTCAGTAAGAAGTTTGCTCGTGAATGTAACCAAGGATATACCTTACACTAGTGTTATTACTATTATAACTGTTTTAATTTAAGTCTAATGGTCACGCAATAGTWAACGAACAAAATTTATCAATCTTCAAAACTAAAGTCATTCAGTTACTTTTTGCTGGAGATTTCAGTCACGCTTCCGATTAATAATAATAAATAATAATATATTATTAATGACAATTAATCGAGACGAGATGTATAACATGAACCCAATGACCTGTGTACAATTTAATAGTTATTTAATCACATTCATATACGCTCCCGGTCGTGGTAATCTCATTGGTGATAAAAATTGGATGTTTTCAAATTTATATTGCTCGTGAGTATATTACTTATATTACTGAGAGATTTAATTCTAAAGAAGTTTCGATTGTAAAATAAGTTTCATTTCGATATTTAAATGATGTCTGTATTAAAATATACTGTAACACACTACAATACATGACAGTAAATATTTAATRAGTTCTAAGAAAAATCAATTTAGAAAATGTAAATGAAACCAAGTATTTGAATACATCATGATGGCTTGTCCCACCACATGGAGCACAACAATAACAAATTCACTAATATCTCAGATCTGTCGTTAATGATTGGAAAGTGATTTTAATTTTAAGAACTATAATTTCTTGCAGAGAATTACGTGGCGTTTTTTATTATACTAAGTAGGTATATAACGCACATAGCGATGTAGGATATTTAAATAAAAATTACACCAGCATTGATAATTTTAACAATATTAAACAGAAATATCGGTTATAGTCTATCGACAAAATTAGTTTATATTTTATAAATAGGAATTATAATAACTGGTATTTTAGATTTACAAACACTATTCAATCAATATACGATATATTTCTTTCATTTTGATATTGCTGTAGGTGATGCCTATATAATATGTGGGAGAAAAAAACTCAGGTGGGGCGACTTCTTTTAAATCCATATCAAAATATAAAACACGTCTTTACATTGTACGGATCTATAATAACGAAATAGTCAAAGTTGAAACGTCAGAAAACAAAATATATTGTTTTTATCCGTGGTTTCATCRAATTTTAATAATTTGTACGATATAAGTACCTATCCTATAAGGTGGAATCATTTCTGTCACGTCCGATGTTTGAATATTTCTTTTCCTTGGAACTTTTTTTTTTCAAAGCACTGACTTAATTCGTGACTACCATTGTAATAACGAATAAAAACAAGTAAAAGAAAAAATGCTTATGAAATGTCACGTCCGGCACATACTACGCGTATATACTATATACAGGTACACGGCCGAGACTAGATTTGTTTGAGAATATACCGTTAACAATCCTATGACAAAAATTAATAATAATAACTACGGAACCTGCAGTTTGCATTTAATAAAAATCGAAATGAAACAAACTATAGAACATAGAAGTGAAATCATTTTTCAATAATCAACGTAAACGATGCAGTGTGGGGATAAATTAATGTGCACACACAAATACCGTGACAAATGAATAGGTATAACTATACACTTTACCTATATATTATATATGTATATTGTATATACCTACTGCAGGGTGGGCAACCATATTGTCCCGTATTGACTAAACGAAATACCACACGGGAAAAAAACTTTACCGACACACGTCATCATGAAATGTACATACACCGAATACATCATCATATCTAAATTTTAAGCAGAGCTGTGTATAAGTGGATACCAT